CACTGCTTGCACATGGGGACCTAGGAAGTTAATTTACTCTTCTCAGCCATCCGGACTCAGAGGCTGCTACAGCCATGGTCCCAGGAGGCTTGGCTACTACTCAAGGTGGTGGCAGACCTTGGTGTCAAMCACATAGTGCCAGTTCTGCAGGACTGCAGAATTAGAGTTTGGGGTTATGGAGGCCCCCACCAGTATTTCAAAGGAAGGCCTCGGAGGCCAGGCAGAGTGTAGCAGAGTTGGAGTTCCTATGAGCTGCATCGAGAGGATGATGCATGAAGATGTGAGAAGGAAGCCTRAGCTGCGGTGGAGACCCACAGATTGAGAGATGCTATTAATGTGGAACATCTGCGGAGGAAAGCTGCAGGAATCAAGCGGACACAAGCCAAGAGAAAGGTCATGTGAGCTGCAACCAACAAGGCCATGGGGTGAAGCTGCACAAAATTTGGAGAAAACTCAMAAAGCCATRTGCCCCAGATGCTGGATGTGGAGCTACAAAACTTGTATGGCCAGCTGGATTTCARTCTTCCTTCTTCCTATACTCCYCTTTCTCCCTTTTGGAATGGAAATGTTTATTCTGGGCCATTATACATTGGATATATTGTTACTTGCTTTTGATCTTGGCTCATAGCTAAGTTTGCCTTGAGTCTCAGACATTGACTTTGGGTAATGCTGTAACTTAAGACTATGGAGACACTTAGAAATAGACTAAATATATTTTGCATTTTGAGATGGGCTTGAGTTTGGGGGGGTCCAGGGGTGGAATGTTATGGTGTAGATATAAGGTATCCCTCAAATGCAACAATGCAAGGAATTTCAGGGGTGAAATGATTAGATTACGAGAGCTTTAACCTAATCAATGCATTGTTCCACTGATATGAATTCACAAAGTGATAACTGAAGGCAGGTAGGACATGGCTGGAGGAATGAGTCCCTTAGGATTTATATTTGGGGTTTATATTTTGTCCCTAGTGCATAGAGCTCTCTCTGCTTTCTGACCACAATGTCCTGAACTGTTTTCCTCTGTCATGCCCTCTGTCATGATGTTCTTCCTCATCTTGGGCCCAGAGCTATGWTGTCTGCCAACTAGGGACTGAATCTCTAAAACCATGAGCCAAAATAAATGTTTCCTCTTGAGATTTTCTTCTCAGGTCTTTTGGCCACAGCAATGCAAAACTGACTAAACACTCTTAAAAGCACTTTACCTCTTATTWTCATTTTTGGAGGCCCAAAAGAAAATAATAGGTCTAGAATACAATTTTATTCCTTTCCAAAATAAATTATTTCTGTTACAATTTTTTTTCATTTACTGATATCAAATTAGCCACAGTAGCACACACCTGTAATCCCAGTGACTTGGGAGGCTGAGACAGGAGGATGGCAGGTTTAAGGCCAGCCTCAGAAACATAGTGAACCCTGCCTTCAACATAAAAATAATAAAAAGCAAATAAAAAGGACTGGGATGTTTCTCAGTAGAATGCCATGGTTTTATTTCCCAGTACCAAAGATTAATTAATTTTTTTAAGAGAGAGTGAGAGAGGGGAGAGAGAGAGAGAGAGAGAGAGAGAGAGAATTTTTAATATTTATTTTTTCTCGGCGGACACAACATCTTTGTTGGTATGTGGTGCTGAGGATCGAACCCGGGCCGCACACTTGCCAGGCAAGCGCGCTACCGCTTGAGCCACATCCCCAGCCCGATTAATTAATTTTTTAAGAACTAAAAACATCTATGTTTACAGTGTATTTTTAACTTTTCTTGCAAAAAATTTTCAGGCATACAAATAGACTGCTTAATCTGTTTTCTTGTTTTTCCTTTAGTTGATGGGTATTGAAGTTGATGCAAAGTATGGAGGAACAGGATTCTCATTTTTTTCCAGTATCCTAGTCATAGAGGAATTAGCCAAAGTTGATGCATCTGTTGCTCTCCTATGTGACMTCCAGAACACAATAATTAACAAGCTGATTAAAAAACATGGAACAGAAGAACAAAAGACCACCCATCTTCCTAAACTGGTTACAGAAAAAGTGAGTTGAAAATGAGTTGTTGAAATGGTTTGGYCTTTTCTAAGTTTGCAATATTTTCAGGAGAAAAGTAGCTGCAGTGTTAACTTTTATTATCTAGGACACAATGCAGCACCATAAATTAATCAAGCGGTGCTCAGTAACTTACTAGGGGGGGAAAAAAAACTCTGCTTCTCATTTTCTACTTGGATATTTATACAGTGAAATTATTTCTTTTTTGTAACAATTTTGTTTTCCAATTCTTTTGTTGATAGTTTCATTTGTGTTGAGTTGGCTTTCTCCTCTAATTATTAGAATTAATTTAGATAAAYTTAAGCATGTATTCTCAAGTCTGCAAATTTGTCTTAGGCAAATAGTGTGGTAGTTTGAGGGAAATAATACTGTGAGAGTACTGTTTTGATAAATATAGACTTTTTAAAAAGTAGCTATGGGTTTTATTTACAAATGTCCATTTTGCTATAAGCATTTGTCATGCAGAACATAAATGCAATTGTTATTTGGACTTTTTTTTTCCTCATGTGTGTAGCTAGGAAGCTTCTGCCTTTCAGAGACTGGAGCAGGTAGTGACCCCTTTGCTTTGAAGACCAGAGCTGATAAAAGGGGAAATTACTATCTCATCAATGGGTCAAAGATGTGGATTAGCAATGCTGCACATGCAGGACTCTTCCTGGTTTTCGCAAATGTGGATCCTACCCGTGTAAGTTTGAAAACAAAATTTCTTCTCTTTTCCTCCTCATCTTTTCTCTTTTTCTTTCCTCCTTCCATTTCCTTTGTAGGACTTAGTCTTAAATGTGAGATTTAACTGGCATCTTTTCACCTTATTTATTAATCTCTTAAAATATTTTGACATAATTATTAATTACATGAGACCATTTGTTATTTATCTCCTAATATGCTATATAAGAAGCCAATCTTTAATTTTATATGATTTCAAATTTTAATAGTGAAGAATTTAAGTACCTATGTAGTACATTTATTTTTAAGAATGTTTTAGAGCTGGACACAATGACATGTAMTCTCAGCTACTTGGGAGGCTTAGGTTGGGGGATCACAAGTTCAAGACCAGCTGGGCAACTTAGTGATACCCTGTCTCAAAATTTTAAAGAATTTTAAAAGACTGGGTATATAGAGTGTCCCTGGGTTCAATCCCCAGTACCACAAAAAAAAAGTATATTTTTAATATTTCCACTAATGTAACATTTAATTGAATTGAAAAACTTTAAGGTATTTAATAAAATTAAATTTAAAACATGGGATTCTCATAATCATATTATACCTTTGTAAAGGTCGGGCGAGCGTCGGAGGAAGAGACCACCAAGAGACTGTCTCATGCAACAGCAAAGGGTTTATTTGGGGACCAGCATGCTGGGGCTCAGAGCTCACTTGAATAGAGCAAAGAGAGAGAGAGCCCTGAGAACAGCTTAAGCAGAGCTTATATACTTTTCTTGGAGAGGGCAGGGAGGGAAGTTACATTTTGCAGTTTGGCAGTTGGGGACAGCACATTCTGGGAACAAGATTAGAAAACAGTTCACAGTTGGGGACAGCACATTCTGRGAACAAGATTAGCAAACAGTTCTTAAGATTTCAACAGTGTTTTGTTAAGCATATAGAAAAACGGAATGACAAGTACCTATTTTATTAACCTTTCACCTTATGACAAAATAATTTTAATATCCATTATGGTTTCTGAAGAAGCAAAAGAAATGGCAAGGTTCCTGGTGTTGTATCTCACATCTTCCACTTATTTCATAATGCACACATTCAGAGTTCTTTCCTAAGTATTCTAAAAAGTCTATTTTTAGTTTTCTTTTTCCTTGGAACCCTTTATGAACAAGAGATTTTATAAATCCAAGTGGAAATAGAATTTTAAATCTTCTTTCTAGGGATATAGAGGAATCACCTGCTTCCTAGTAGATCGTGATACAGAAGGCCTTCATATAGGGAAAGCAGAAAATAAACTGGGCATCAGAGCTTCTTCCACCTGCCCAGTAACATTTGAAAATGTCAAGGTGGGTATTTAGAATAATCAGTAAAGTATTGTGAAAGGAGCTTCGGGTGGTACTGTGGGTGTGCAAGAGAGCTATCAAAATACTAAGTGGCAAACGGTAGGCACAGGAGAGTGTTTTGTGRAATCCTAAAAGTGCTCTTAGGTTAAGTTGTCACCAGAGTACTTTTCATAGTAGTTTAGACCAGAGTGGAAACCTTTCTGCCCAGTAACTGGCCTCTGAAGAAAATGCTGAGAATTAACCTGTTATGTTTTATAACTTGCATACTTCTGAATGACTACTACTTTATAAAGCTTGGTGTACTTGTGAAGGAAGTCTGGTGTCAGTGCACCAAAGGCCACAAGATGGGGATGTTGCTCAGTGAGAATGAAGAGCAAGGAGGTAGSACCCCACAAAACAAGATAGCTGGAGTGCTGAGGCTAAGGCTCCAGAGCTTTTACACAGGCAGGACAGGTTGTCATGGGTTTCCCATCACTCATAGTGGAGCTTGATCTTCATGCACCTGTGTGTCTGGGGTGGGGGTAGGAGATGACTTTACAGTTGTCATTTGGGTCTGGCTACTTCCCTCCCCTGACCTTCCGATTCTCCCTTTTCTTTCCCATTCTTTCCCATTCTGCCCTGCTCCCTCTCCTAATTGCCCATATTATAAAGCTAAGTATTTTTTATTGTTCCCAATCTGAATCTTTAATCTTATTTTCAAGTACATTTTAGTCTGTTTTCTCGTTYCTCCTTTTTTCTCTCTTTTGCATGCACACAGGTATGTATACACACACTACACACATGCCTCAGTTGACTTTTAAAAAAGGATGAATCATCTCAACAGAAGAAACCATTATTTTACAAGTACTTCATGTTTTTTATAGTTCCTAATGATGTTATCTTACACTATTAATATACACATAAGAATTGGAGGAAAAATGTTATTTATGCAATTGATGAATTGTTCAACATTCCCTTTTTCTAGAGTCATTCATTCATTTATTGAGCACACTGCTAGACTCTGCACAATGCAATAGTGAATAACCAACTTGGGGAAGTAGTTGTAGAGACTTGGAGAAATCAGCAGATAATCTCATTAGATGTTAATAAGTACTGTGATCAGGTACTATCACACAGATTGGAAGTATATGAGCCTTTAAATATGTGTGTAATCAAATCAAATTATATCAAATTAAATTGAGGAAAAAGGTGCACATTTGTGTTTTCAGGTTCCAGAAGCCAATATCTTGGGACAAATTGGCCACGGCTATAAGTATGCTATAGRAAGTCTTAATGAAGGCAGAATAGGAATTGCTGCACAGGTAAGTCAAATTGTAACTCTTCCACAATATGAGCCAATTAAAATGTAAAAAYAAAGAAATACAGTAAGACCAATGAGAATGTGGAAGCTTTTGAACACAAGATGGCACCCTTCCCTTACATGAGATGAAAGAATGGCTTGTTATTTCAGATTCCACTTTAGTCAATTATRTAAGTACCCAGAGAACCAAACAATGGCTTAGAGATAACATGTTTTCTATTTTGAGAACAYTGAAGTATTATCTAATACCTGACTCAATAACTTCTAAAATGTATTATAAGTTAAATATGTAATTTTTATAAAATCAGCATCTCAAAGCATGAAAATCATTCTGGAAGACATCTTTTAAATTAAGAATAAATATATATTCTCTGTGATCTCTAACTCAAACAATGAAAGACTCACTGCTTAGGGTTTTACAAGTGTGAAAATGGARCAATTGTTTGTGGCACATGAAATAAAACAGCCATAAATAAATACACAGTGTAATTTGAGAATTACTCAAATTTTTACCAGATTTACCCTATTGTATATATTCATTTTATGTTAAGTGACATTATTTTCTAGATTAATAAAATGWATAAAGGCTTTAGTTTATTATAAATATGTTACTTTTATAGAACATTTATTTTATAGGTGAATATCTGAAATTCAATTTAGAGCCTTTAGATTTTGATGTACATTGATATACATTAGCAATTGGAATAGTTAAATGTTAGAGTATTACTCCAGATATTTTCCTGCTGCTGTTACTTTGTTAACTGTTCATTTTGGTGCTGGTAATTAAGTCCAGGGCCTTRAACATGCTAAGCATGCCTSCTACCCCTACTACTGAACTACATCYCCAGCCCAACAGAGTGTTCTTTAGATCAGTAATTAACCTAAGTTTCCCACAAAGCTAGGTAATATGTTACTAAAGAGCACTGGCATATCTATCCTTTTTAAAGTTTTTCTGTGATTTAATTTCATCAGATGTGGCATTAAAAACTACAGTACCAGACCTGATTTTTCCCAGGCATTCAAATAATAGAGATGTTCTGGCAGTAAAATACACAGCATGGTCTTTAGTCTAATTACCCCAAGTTATCTTATAMCCTAATGAAAAGTTAAGGTCAGATAGTTATTATGTCTCTGTGGATGGCTTTTAGAGGAAGAGGCACAGGTAACAGAGTGAACTGAGGTCATCCATCCTCAAAACACTGCAGTTGGAGAAAATTTGGTTCTTCAGTATTTTTCATGGAAACATTTTACTGAGATGAAATAGCTTATTTTGATTGATAACTAAAACTTCAGTCTTTGTGTCAGTATAGGCTATTGTTTCCATGCTTTAAACTCTAGTTATGACTGACATCATCTTTTCTTATAGCCRGAAGCATTGAGCCTACTGCCTCACTTTAAATTGGGGTTTGTGGGGGTTTGTCCCTTTAATTTTCTTATGTTCTTTTTTTGTTTTTGTTTTGTTTTGTTTGTTTTCAAGTACTGGGGATCAAAGACAGAGGCACTCTACCATTGAGATACATCCCCAACCCTTTTAATTTATTTGATACAGGGTCTTGCTACTTTGCCAAGGTGTTAAATTTGTAATCCTCCTGCCTCAGCCTTCCAAGTCACTGGGATTACAGAAATGAACCACCATGCCTAGCTGTTCCTTTAATATTTAACATAATCTTCTGTTCTGCAGAGAGTTCAAAGTAAAGGCTAAATGAAAATATGAATGAACACTAATGAAATATTGATGTTTGTGGGCATTTCCCCTAAAGCTTTAACTATTGATTTTTTTTTCCTTTTTAAAAACCTCCATAGTTYGACATAATTAGTGATTTAATAGCTACCTAATGTTGAAATTTAGAAACCATTTATAAGCTCAAATCATTCAATAGATATAGAATTGATTAGCAGTGACATAATTCAGCTAAAATTGTTAAACACCATCCCTTATTCTTCAAACTTGTAAATTAATGATTTTACCAGATGCTATCAGTTGTTCTCAACCTTATCTGTGCATTAAATCACCCAGAGTTTTAAAATGCTGATGTTTAGAACACACTTAACCACCTCCTCTACTTCCAAGATTTGGATTCAGTTCTTATACTCAGATGTTATATCCAGGCATGGATTTGTTTTAATCAAGTTCCCCAAATGATCCTAATGTGCATCCAAGTTTGGGAAGTCCTGTTCTGTTACGTTCTGATGTCCCTTCCATTRGAACTTTCATTAATTATAGGCAAAATGGATAGGAAGGTAGAAGGTTAAGAAGTGATCTTCCATATTTGACTTCTGGAAGGACTGGAGATGACACTTACTACTGTCTTGAAGGCCAGTTGTGGGCAGAATTTCTGTGGCTCACTTTGTGCCTAGAGGATCAGAGCTTGAAGAAAAAGATTCCTGAACAATAGCTTAATTGCATGAATACAGCCATGCCAGAAGATTTACTCTGTCCTAGAATTAAATACACTCATATTTATATGACACCAGTCCAGATTTTCTCCCAGTTACTGGAAGTTCAGTTCTATAAATGCAATAGATAAAGATACGTAGTTAATACATACCTCAGCACTTTGGTAGATCAAGTTCTCCTCCTACTCCATCTGTTCAATCTKCTAGAAAAGTAATTTATGACTTGGGTAACTACAACCATAAACTTGTGGAAAAGTGAGAAATTCTGGTTTTCTTTTCCTTCTTTTTTTTTTTTTTTTTTAAACAGATGCTGGGACTGGCCCAAGGATGCTTTGACTACACCATTCCATATATTAAAGAAAGGATACAATTTGGCCAAAGAATATTTGATTTTCAGGTACATAATTAGACTGTTCTACTGTCCCAGACTCTYCTCTCTTCCAGTTGATAAGGAGCTTTGTTGAAAATCCATGGAGGGAATCACTGGAGGGGATTTTAATGGAGGSAGGAGGGCWGGAATAGGCCTCTGAGCATGCACTTGTACATGCTTTGATCTTTGTCAAGGGTGGAACTGTCATCCTTGTGTTCCAGCTGTGCTGTGACATGGGATGTCTTGGTGAATTTTTCAGAGATTTCTCCTCACTGCTTCATAAGTACAGGACATGAAGTCTGAAGTCAGACTTCATGGATTCAAATCCTAGTTCTGCCACTTGCACATTGTGTATCATTTTATCTGAAATGCTTGGGARCAGAAGTGTTGCAGATATCAGGTGTTTTTAGATTTTGAAATATTTACATAGACATAATAAAACATCTTGGGGWTGGGCCTCCCATCTAAACAMAAAATTCATTTATACCTCAAATACATCTTATATACATAGCCTGAAGGTAATTTTATATGATGTACTTAATGATGTTGTACACAAAACAAAGCTTCATGTTGTAGATTTTTTCACTTGTGGCATCATGTTGCCATTCAAAAATTTTCAGATTTTGGRACATTTATGGATTTCACATTTTCAAATCTGGGTGTTCGATCTGTCATAGCTTTAGGCTTTGATCACTCTAAGCCTCAAATGCCTCATTTATAATATAAAGATAATATGATATGAGACATCCTATTTTAAATTAGATATGTGTGAAGTGTTTAACACACTTCATGGTGTAATAGTTCTCAGTAGATGGTAAAACTCGTCTTAAGTGCCCTAGTCAGACCAGACCCATGTGGTAATCTTAGAGGGCACCTTGACACATACATCTTACTGGAGATACAGTTTGCTAATGCAATTGAGATACTCTGAGCCAGACATTTTGGGAAATACTGGACTGGTCCACTGATAGGGCATTCAGGGATTCCTTGACAGCAAGGGTATTCTTGTCCACGTTGAGGTCTTACCAGCGTCAGGACAACCTGTAGAAGCAGCTTACCAGGCATTGCAAGCACCCTGAAGTGTATTACCTAAAATTCCAGAATAATTACTTTACATGGTTGCAAAAACCTCCCTTTTTATTTTAACAGTCTGAGTTCCAAGTATAATTTATTTCTATACTATCAGCTCTGTCATGCTACGTTGTCTTCAGGTTTATAATCACTAGACAACACATGAGCATACTCAAACTGCATRTGTGGAGATATAAAGCCATGGACATGCAGTCAATCCAAGACCCAGAAGATTGAGCATGGCACAYCTGACCAGAGCCTGCACAGCCCATGCTGTCATCCCCATGCTATACTCAGGAAACTGAGGCACTYGGAGGGCAGGTTTTCAAGGTCATGTTACTAGTATGGTACCAAAATTACAGGTTTTTGTCTTAGTTTTTGGTCTTGCATTTCATTGTACTCAAGTCTTATCTCAGARCCAGCTTCCACATAGCTCACAGCAAGGACAGAAGGCGAGAGGGGTTTGAGGAGGCTGTTGATCTTCTCTGCAGGAAACACCCAGGAAACAGTGTTTACATGTGTATGTATACATATACATATAATACACACATTTATATATGTGTATATACATATATAAATATATACACATGTACACCTGGGGGTCAGATGTACTAACAAGTGTAATCACAAAGACAGTTTTAGAAATACCTGGGGTGAGTAATTTTTTTGAAACTTAGAAATTTGATCCTAAAAACCACCATTAACTATATAAGATTTGATTAAAGTTAGTAGGGTTTTATGTATTTCATCTCATTAGAATGATTTGGGTTTGCTTTGCATATGTTCATTTATTTCTTACCTCTGGAGGGTAAAGACCAGACCTCCTCCTTACTTCTTTCAGTTTGTCAAACATGCTCTTCATGCCAGGCCCTGTGCTCACAGTGTATTTAGGGAACTAATATGCAGCAACAGTGTGCTCTTTAGGGAAGGAAACACAACCACTATCCCTTTTCTGCCTTGTGTGTACTTACTGGAATAGACAACATGGATGGTGGCTGTAGATTTAAATGRACTGAATGTATTTTATGAAAACAGTCTGAATCTCTGAGTTTCACATAAGAAGCCAGAAAAAATTTTCATAACATTGATATTGGCATAGAAATAGACAAATTGACTGGATAGAACAAAATAGAAAGGCCAGAAATAGATCCATGCAGGTATGCAAATTGATATATATTAAAGATGAAATTGTAAATAATGAAACTATCCTTACCTCACACCATATGCAGAAAATAGATTTCAGATGTATTAAAGGGATAATGTAAGAAGCAAAACTTTAAAAATCRCAGGGGAAAACAGAATAAAACACACAAGAACTAATCATAAAGGATAAAATTGGTGAATTTGACTACCAAATTTCTTTCCCTCAAAAGATGC